CTGCAGGACGGCGATGCCCTCGGGCGTGGCCCGGTGCGCCGTCTCGAGCCCTTGCGACGCACGCTCCTCCATCTGCGGCTCGAGCTTGCTCCGCAACATCATCAGGAGGAGGCCCTCCTGCGTGCGGCCGGGGTAGTTCGTGGACGGGTGGACGGCCATCTGGCTGAACAGCTCCGAGTTCTCGGTGATGCTGTCGAGGATGGTCTGGAGGTTGCGCTGCAGGATCTGGGCCGAGGCCTGGAAGGAGGATCTGTTGCGCGACGACCGTGGACGTTAGCATACTGCTATAGGGATGATTCGGGGAGGCGGTGAGAGACGCACGGAGGGGGGAGCGGTGCAGATCTCAGCAGGTCGTGCTTCAAGCTATTGATGCTGCTCGTGAGCTGTGAGAGTCTCGAGACCATCTGCTCGACGGATTTGAGCTCGTCATCGTCGAGCCCGAGCGTCGCCATTGTGGCGGATGGATGGAGCGGCGCAAGGTGAGTTAGTGCTGCAATTCGGCTGGCTCAATGCGATGCTATGAGTGCGCAAGGAGCAGTTGTCGGCGGTGTGTTTGATTCAAGTTGGTTCGGTGAGGGGAGGCGCATGGCAGGTGCTTTCCTTAGGTGGGCTTATCGATAAGATCAACAGCTCAAGCTCGTCATTCCGCCTTCTCTCCTCACCATCACCTTCTTCCCCTCTTTCATTTCTAGCCTTCACCTCGGTAGTGCTGAGAACTTTCACGGAAAGCTTTCATCTCGGATGTGACGGGTGTGAAAGTTCGAACAGCTCGACTCACACGGTAAAAAACAGCAATGGAAGATGCCAGACCCGACATCTCAGAACAATTAATACGAAAGGCAACAAGAAGCCCTACTGGCTCAAGGCCACAGCGATGCAGAAGGAAAACTCTATAAACCTTCACACCGATGACTCCATTGCCGTCGGGCGAGCCGCTATTCGGATCCCTATATATCCTCCCCTCTTTCCTCTACCTAGCTAGAGTTGTACATCACGCACATGACTTCCGTTCATCCTACACCAACCCAAGCAACACAAAGCTCAAAGTTCTTCGGATAACAAGCTAAGCTCTTCGGATAATAAGCTAGTGAGCACCGTTAGCCCCTTTGCCAGGTAACTTGCACTGATACGTGCGCAGCCTTCGACGTTATTCAAGACCAGATCTTGGCGCCTTTCTCCCGAAGGCAATAAGATCACTTGGACCCAAGTACCAAAGCCCAAGTTAAACACAAGTGATCCAAAACTTGTTGACTACGCTAAGGGGGCCCCAGTCGAGGAGCTTGATAAGGCCAACCATTCTAAAGATCTTGAACAAGAGCAACAACTTGGTCTTATCAAGCTGTTTGATTGGGACTACCTTAGCGTAGCCAACAAGTCTTCATCTCAAGTCTCATATGGCTGGTTTCACCTTAATCAAAAGAAGACGAATTCGAACTCAGATGTCATCAATGAAATCCTATCAACTATATGCCTAAAATACATTCGCCAATGCCATGGATGCCAACGCTTGAGAAAAAGAAGAAGAAAAGGATATGGGGACGGATAAGAATATCCGATAGCAGGATCATAAAAACAAACAAGAAATAAAGAAAAAGAAGTGAAAGAAGTCATCCCGACACCGGCTTGCATATGCGTTGCTGATCAAAAATAGGCATGTTCTCACTCCAACCCTCCCTCCCCTTTAACGCAAACACCTAGGACCTATCGTGTGCTCTTTTCTCTCACGGTTTTGGTGCGCTTTTGGGTATCAGTCTCATATAAATCAAGTGAGCGGTCCAGGTGTCGCCAGGTCGCCGGAGATTCAGCCATCTAAGACGCGAGGGAGTGAGATGGCCATCTCAAGGGGGACAATTCAGTGTCCAGATCGTTTAACCACCACGAGTCGAGTTCACGACAGAGCTCTTGAGCTCAGCACCGTAAATGTCAACGAAGGGGAAGCGAGCGCGGCGCTCCAGATCGTCAAGGGGAATCGTAGAGCGGATATACCTAGGGCGCAAATCCGGTCAGTAACACGAGACATGAATCGGTGAAACAAATACGGGGAGAACCTACTTCTGGCGGCCGTCATCCTCAGGGTTAAAGTCCCAGCTGGTGAAGCTGCCGAGCTTCAGGGCATCCCACACCACACGACGTCTACGCTGGGAGTGGAAGACCTCGGCGGTGATGGCATCGTAGTCCCATCTGGCGTCGGCCTCGGCTTTCATCTGGTCGAACTTCTCCTTGGCCTCCTGCTCCTCGGGGGTCTTGGGCTCGATCTTGCGGAACCGAGCAAGGTTGTCCAGCTCATCGGGGTCGCGGGCGAGGTTGAAGAGTTGGGGCTCGTCGGCAGGGCAGGTGATGTACTTCCAGGGCCCACGACGGATCATGAAGAGGGGGCGGACGGTGCCCTCGCCGGTGTACTCGGCGAAGACTTCGTCGTGGCCTTCCTTGCCCTGGAGATGGGGCAACATGCTGACGCCGTCCATGGGCAGGTAGGGAGAGGGCTTGGTGCCGACGAGGTCACAGACAGTGGGGAGGATGTCGAGAGTCGAGACGTTCTTGGAGACGCGGTGAGGCTCGAACCACTTGGGGTAGTTGACCAGGAGGGGCACACGGACAGACGACTCGAAGTAGCTCATCTTGTACCAGAGTCCTCGCTCGCCCAGCATATCACCGTGGTCACCGCTGAAGATGACGATGGTGTTGTCAGCAAGGCCAGCGTCGTCGAGAGTCTCCAGCAATCTGCCAATGCAGTCATCAACGTAGCTGACGGAGCCATAATAGGCACGCTTAGCACGCTTGATCTGGTCATCAGTGAAGTCCTGGTCCCAGAGGTCGCAGACCTTCATCAGACGCTTGCTGTGGGTGTCCAACTCGTCCTTGGGGATGCGGACCTTGGGGAGGTTGATGTCCACGTCCTCATACAGGTTCCAGTACTTCTTGGTGATGGTATAGGGGTCATGGGGGTGAGTCAAAGAGACCTAGTTTCATAACGTGTCAGCCTACCCGTCATGCCAGGACATCCGAGCACGCCTCGGCGATACTACAAGCCCCTCTTATCCACCGGGTCACTTACAGTCAAGCAAAATGGTCTCTTCTTGGGGCCCTCACGGACGTGGTCCCACAGGTACTGCGTGCTCTTGTACATGACCTCCTCGTCATAGTCAAGCTGGTTGCTACGGCCACAGGGTCCTGCCTGCAGGATGGAGCTGGCGTTATGATACCACTCGAGCCTGGTGTCAGGCTCGTCCCAGTTGACGGCCCAGCCGAAGTCGGCAGGGTAGATGTCGCTGGTCAGGCGCTGCTCGTACCCGTGTAGCTGGTCGCCGACGAAGTGCATCTTGCCGGCCAGGGCAGCGTGGTAGCCCTTGGCGCGGAGGTAGTGGGCGTACGTGGGGATCTCGGAGCTGATCTGGGAGGCGTTGTCGAAGGCACCAATCTTCATAGGCAGCAAGCCGGTGATCATGCTCATACGGGAGGGGGCACAGAGGGGGGAGGGGCAGTAGGCCGAGTCAAACTGGACGGCGCTGGCAGCGAGACGGTCCAGGTTGGGGGTCTTGATCTGGGAGTCTGGGTTGTACATCTTGAGCTGGGGAGCAGCCAGCTGGTCCGCCATGATGTACAGGATGTTTGGCTGCTCGCCGCCATTCGCGGGGCGAGGGGCCTCCGCGGGGGCCTCCCCAAAGACTGATGGGGGGAGAGAGTTGAGATCTGGAGACATGGTGGGAGTTTATTGAAGTGGAGTGGTGTTGTTGCTTCTGCTGTCCTACTTGGGTGGACGAGAGGCCGGCAGTCGTCTTTAAGAGACTAGGCTAGCCTGGAGGTGAGAGGAAGATTTAGAGTTGGGGAAGAAGGGAGCAGAAGAGGCGGAGGGAGATGAGGAGGGAAGGCAGGGTACAAATAGTGGTTAGTCGTTGGGTTAGAGGCGGGAGCCAAGGTATTAGTAGGGTTCCGGTGGCGGCTCCTAGATACCGGATGTGAAATTACGCAGGGGGTGAGGATATATTCCTTCGGCCAAGTATGGATTGGCTGGATCAACGGGATGTTCAGGGATAGTGGACGGCGGTTTGGGCGGTCACGAGGGGTGGCTTGAGCAAAGCTGGGTGAAGACACACAATGGGGACAAGGAGGTGGGAGGTGGGAGGTCAATCATTGGTATATTCGAAATGCGTGGTACGTCAGTCTGCCAGGGTGGAATGCTGGCACAGTGGCAGCATGATGAAACTACGGATGAGACTTGGGAAACTATGTTGTCGAGGCCAAGGCGTGGGTGTTGAGCCTTCTGGGACGACGGCATCGAGAGAAGCGAGGAGAAGACGAGGAAAAAAACAGGCAACCAGGCTAATCAATCACACGCTAGCCAAAGGCCTTCCGAACAGGGCAGATTGGCAGGAATCCGAGACCGGCTTGGGGCGATGGAAAGTGGTCAATCGGGTTTTCTGGGACCATCAACGGCTCATACGGTTGTCGGGGCGCCAAATGGCATAATAATGAGACGCACACAGACTTTGCACACTATCAGTGGTGTCGACGTCGAAACTTTTGCGGCAGATGGACAAGGGGCTGTACAGTCAGCACAGTATTTACGAATGAGGGCCGGAGGATTACACTGGCATTCCGAGTTGCACGTGCGTCTCGGCCATGAGTGTTTCTCTTCTCTGGCTCTGGCTCTGACTCCGTGATATGATATCATGGTCGCTGCTCACCCAACCCATCTCCCCATCTCCTATCTCCTCAAAGCATCCATGGACTTCTCTGCTGGTCTTTTTACTGGGACCGGCTTATCGATTGCCATCAGCCCAAGGCCAGGCCAGACCTAAGGGTAGGCGGTGTGATGTGGAATAGCGCTACACAGACACCAGAGACCCTGAGAAACTACCCGATTGGGTGCTGTCAAGGCTGCGGTTGGCTGAGGCCCCCTGCGCACCTTGCTGAAAGCGCACATGCTGGGCGGCGGGGGAGCAGAGGCTAATCTGCAGGGGCCTTTTCTCAGCAATCATTCCAGCAACGGCCAGATCGATCTATACGGTGCATCTCGACCCCAATCCGCACCGTATAGATGCTGCATCGTTCGAGCTCAACGCCAACAATTCATCATGTGGACACACGCGCACGCGCCCTGAGACCAGACACAACTTTGCCTCCTCGCCATGGGTCAGCTTGTCGAGCGAGGCGGCAGCACCGGACACTTGGCCGACGGCGACGGCGACGAGCGCGCCCTCATCCTCGACCTCGACCCCAATGTCCAAAGCGATAGATGAGATGGCGATAGTGGCATATTGCAGATTGGACCCGGGCCTGCTCTGGGCGCATCCACCCGCGTCTTCCAGAACTATGGATCGAAGGCAGAATGCCATCATCAATTCTCCGATGCCTTGGGCCACGGGCTGTCCGCCGTCTGCCAGGTCTTTGTCTCCTCCAACAAAGAGACGAAAACAATACGTGCAGCACAACGGAAGAGGGGGCGGGGTCGGTGGAGAGAGGGGTGTTGTCAATCCAGTTCCAGGCTTGGACTGATTGACACCGGGTCTGCAGCATTCTTACGAGAAGAGGCCAGCCATGAGAATCCAATCCAATCCTACCTCCGGCCTCGATTCGAGTGTGTGCGAGACAAGCACGACAGCTACACCGTCCCACGCGCCCCGTTTCCCACAGTCTCTCCCCGTGGCCGACGGACTGGCCAGAAACACTGTATAAGTCTGCTCATCCGCGTCAGTGTACCCTCTTTTTATGTTGTGATTTCTGCGATTTTCCCATGTCGACATCAAAGTCTAAGATGACACCATCGCTCCCTGACACGTTCACTCTCCGTTCCTACGGATCATCCTTCTCACTAAGCTCCCCGGTCCCAGCTTTTTTCCTCCTCCTCCGCAACGTGTTGCGCGCGTTCCGAGTCTGGGTCTAGGTCTGGATGGATTGCCGTTCCCACACCAAGCCCTGGTGCTGGTCGGTTCTGCAACCCCAGTCATACATTCACGCCCACACCCACAACCACAACCAGCAACGAGGCACCAAAACTCGCATCTGTGGGGAGACACGACATGTCTGTTTCTGCTCTTCCTTAGGTTGCATGCAGTAGTCCAATTAGTGCCCCTTCCCGCCCTCCGCCCACTTCCGTCATCTCCCTCAGTGGACAGACAGCACGCTTCCTCGCTCGTCCTCCCTCCCAGACAGTCAGTCCTGTTATCGTGCATGGCTTCAATGCAGGAAGAAAAAAAGCCACCGCCGGCACCGACTCCCACTGCTCAGCCGCCAACATCCTATTCGCCCGCAACCCCGGCGAAAGAGGGATACAAAGCAATATCACCTCTCACCTCCTCGCTTAGCCCGGGTCTGTCACCTCTTATCGCCAGGAAGAGGGCAACCTAACGGCAACGTAGTCCACCTTCCTTCCTTCGTCTCGCTCGGCACTCGTGTTTCCCCCCCTCGGCCCAAGCCTCGTTATCCATCCCAATGCTCCCAAGCCCCATGGCTGGTCGCGTGAGCTTCCTCGCTAGCGTCGCTTGGAACCGATAAGCAGGAAAAAGCAATCTTAACAGAACCGCTTGCAAATCAGTCCCACCCACCGCTGCCCAATAGTCAGTCACGCCAGCGACTTCGCTCGAGTCGGGGCCCGGGATAAAAGAAAAGACGGTGCGTCCTGTGGTAGGTAGCTCTTGTGTAATATGTTGTAATGGCGAGTATGGTATCTTGAATATGTAAAACCTCACTAATAAAGAAGAACAAACCCGGACCCCCCTAACCCACATTATCATGCTACTCCTTATCTACAACATCACAAAACCCGAATGTACACAACTCCGGTCTTGTGCAAAAAACCCATGGTCCCTTTCGTTTCGTTTCGTTGCCCTTTACCTTGCGTTTCCTATTCCCTTTCCGTGTTCACTCCCCCAATAGTTCAATCAGTCCGTGCAAGAAAAAACAATTGTCGCTTCCATAAGTCAAAACATCAGTTTGATTTTGAGAGAAGGGGGGAACACGCCCTTTTCCTAGGGGGCGTCCCCTACTCCCGGTGAGAGGCCGGCCTCATCTCCACCCTTCCAACACTCCGATTAGATAGGAACAGTCTTGTACGTTGCCCAGACGATTATTGTGTTCGGTAGAACTTCTTGTACAGCAGGTGCAGCAGCAAGTTGACGTTGAGCCGGAGGTTGCCCTCGAACAAGTTCATAAACTGGTGGGCTTCGAACTGGGCCTGCAGCAGATCCTCGATCGGCACGAGCGCACTCGCTCCGGGGATCTGGATGTGGCCCTTGGATCCTTCGATGGCGAAGACGCCCACCTCGTCGCACGAGATGGTCAGGTTGATCTTTTCCCAGTCGGCCATGCCGCTCCACGAGACGAGCACGCCCTTCTCCAGGAGGGCTCGGGCGCTGTACTTGTAGCTGCCGAACTTGGGCACCCGGCCGCTGCGTTCGAGCTCGCGCTGGTGGTTGTACTGCTTTGTGAACGGCAGGAGGAATCTCTTCTTGCTATTGAGTGAAAAAAACTCGGGTTAGTGTTCCGTTACATATCATCTGTGGTAGCATAATGTAGGTTGTAGTCACTTACCCCTTCTTGTTCTGGAGTGTCGCCATCGCCTGTTCAATGTAGTCGTCGTAGCTCTTCCTCTGCTGCTCCAGGTACTTGGCCTTGTCGTGCAAGTTGGACAGGGTCATCCGGACACCATCCAGCTCTCGTTGTCTCTGTACTCTCCTCCGGCTCTTGCTGCGGATGTCGACAGCAATCGCATTGAGCACGTCCTGGTAGTAGTTGTGCTTCGAGATGCGTCCCCACTTCTCCAGGCGCATCACGTTCTCCAGAGCCGTGCGCTTGAGCTCGTGGTACGACATTCGCGTAACGTCCACCATGTTGGCATCCGAGTACGCTCCACGAGTCTTGTTATCGTTCATGAAGTCGTCTCGGAGGATCTGCTGCCACTTGATCTCGTCCTCGTCCGTGATCGGCTTCACCAGGATCTCCAGGAGATTCGCACCCGTCTGTACTCGTATAATATACAAGACGCAACGTTTCGTCTCCATAAACAGCGCCTTCACCTCGGCCTCCGGGTCATTAATGTCGTGGAGCTTTGGCGTCAGGAACATGTGGATCTCGGAGGAGCCAACCGCATTCATCTCGCTCTCGTTGTTCTTAGCATTGCCCAAATCGTGCATGATCTCGCGCAAAACGTCGTCACGGCTCGGGCACATATAGTTGAGCTCAGCAGCGACCAGGTTGTGAATGGCAAAAACATCCGTCATCTTGATGTACAAGGTAGGCTTGTTCTTGGCGTAGAGGTCGTTGAACTCGTCAATGTCGAAAGTGCTCTCGGCATCCTGGACGGAAATCAACTCTCCCGTGATTTGAGCCAGCCTCTCAATAGACTCGGAAACGAAAGCGTTGAGAGGCTGGAGATAGATGTTCTCGCCTCCGAAAACACGACCAGATGCAATCTGCCCGACGACCTTGCCTACTTCGCTCAAGTTTCTCTTCTGAAGAGGGCTCAGTCCCTTTTCGATTACACCCACGTTTTCGGGGAATACTAAAGCAGGCTGTAGGTAAGATTTCCACACCCAGTTGGCGACAAGCTGCAGTATCACGTCGGGGGACTCCCTCTTGAAATGTTGTCTCAATGACTGGAACATCTGGCTTCCAAGGAAGCGCAGGCCGTATGGCATCTTGTGCAAGAGATCCTCCAATGCCAAGAAGAACTGGTCGCAAATCTCTCGGAGGTCGCGAAGATGATCGATGAAAAGTCTTCGGGTCTCTGGGTCCCTGATGGCCACTTCCCGAGGAACTTCGAGTGGGCGAGGATCTGGCATACCCGTTCGAAGCTCTTCGTTGTTGATCGCAGACCGGTAAATCTGCATCGGGTCGCTCTCAAGGTCAAGAGCAGGATCATCCACAATATTGTCCCGAATCAAAGGTCCCAAAAGATCCCTCAAATACTTGCGGTCGCGAGGGGATCGGGTGTAGTTGCCGAGCAGCTTGGTCCAGAAAAAGTTTCCACGAAGATATTCTTGGAATGTCTTACATCCCTCGATATCTTCCTTGATTGATCTAGCAACCAATTTCAGGAGATAATATTCTTCTCGGCGCTTTTGGGCGTATCCGAAAAGACTCATGATGAGCAGCTCTATCCTCTTGCTCTCCTTCTCCGACGTTCCTTGCTCGCGAAGATGACGGAAGAGTCGAGCGAGGTACTGTGGCTGTGTTTGGAGATTGAAGAACAACTGCTGATACGACTCAAGCTTCTTTCTTGAACCCTTGTTGAGCGCCTTCAGATCAAATTGGTTGCCAGAGGACATGGATGAGTTGGCCAGCAGACCCATGGTGTGGCCTCCGAAGTTATGTTGGTGCCGTACTACTTCGTCGAGAGTAATCTTGTTCTTGACCAGTAGCGCGATCTTGATATCAAGTTGGTCGATGTATTGCTCCAGCATTTCGTTCTGGCGAACTTGCTGAACGACCGTCTTGCGCATGCGCTCGAATTCAATCTCCTCATTGAAGTCGAAATCGCTATCGTTCAAAAGGTGAACAAAGTTCTTGACAGCGCCAACCGGGGGGTTCTTCCCCGTGGTAAGACTCTTGTAAGCCTCTCCCTGGACCTTGGCACGGACAAAACTCTGAATCTTGACCACCTTTTGCATGTTCTCGTTGAAGAATCGTCGCTTTTCTTCGAACCGGGCTCGAACGAGGAAGCCCTTGATGGCAGACTGGGCAACAATGATTGATTCCTCCTCTTCCTCTAACTCTGCAATCAAATCACCAACTCTTCCTCGTTCCATGATACCTCTCAGGATGGCCTGGAATGCTGCGATCTTATCATAGTGAGAATCCAGTTCCTCAAGCAAAGCGGAGTGCTGACGTCTGTACAAGAAGCCGCGGATACCGGCTTGTAAGTCGACCGTCTTGGAGACGTGGCTATCGAGCTCGGCTCTGTCTGCAAGAATCTGCTCCCGAACGAACAGACCCCGAATCATGGACTGGAGCGAAACAATTTCTTCCGAGTTCTCCTCCAAAGCATCAAGATCTGCTTTTACGTTTTTCCGTACAACTCCCGCTCTAACGATGGCCTGAAGTTGGGTAACCTCGGCTCGGTGCTTCTTCAATTCTTTACGCAAAGCCTTTGTCTCAGCTCGAGACGCAAGGCCGCGAGCAAAGGCCTGGATCTTCGTGAATATAGGGGCTGCAGCCTGAAGATGCTGGTTTTGGATATCAATTCGTTGTCTTAGTTGCTGTGCTCGGAGTGCAGCTTGGAAGCTGACAATCGACGGCGATTCAGCATGCAGCAGTTGACGATCTTGGTTGAGGCTTTCTCGAACAAGCATTCCCCTGACGGCTGCCTGCAATCTTTTTACCTCACCAGAGCTCTTCTTGGTTTCTTTATGTTGAGCGACGAGCTTTTTGCGGAACAAGAACCCCCTAGCAGCTGCCTGCAGGCTTTGTACCTCACCAGAGCTCTTCTTGACTTCTTGATGTTGAGCGACGAGCTTTTTGCGGAACAAGAACCCCCTAGAGATTGCCTGGATCTCTCTTATTGGTCCTCCGCAGGTGGCCAGAGTAGATCGTGCCTCCCGTGCCTCGTGGCGGGCTTTCTTGGCCCTGATCATGCTTTGCAGCTCCAGGATAGCTGGCTCGACAGCCTTCCAGAATCTATCAGAATTCTCCAGCCTCCGCCTCAGCAGAAATCCGCGGGAAGCACTCTGCAGTTGGGTGGCAAATCGCCTCATCTGAAGTCGGTAGCCCATGATCTGGCGAGTAAAGTCACCTCGAATGCGCGATTGGAGGTCAATCAGAAACTCTTCCTGGCCCCAGAGCTGCTGCATGGTCTCGCCGAGTTTCAGTCGTGTCATAGCTCCTCGGACTTGCGCCTGGAAATCAGCTATAGAGGCCTCATTTTCAGCCAGCTCCCGGTCAATTCTTTCCTCTTCTGTCTCTTGCGGCTCAGGTTCTGGCTCTGGCACGCCAAAATCTGCACCCATGTCGCCGAAGGTTGGCATATTAATGCCCAACTTATCAAGGCCTTTCTGCATTTCCTCCAGCTCATGATGTTCGAATTCCAGCTGTCCAACCAAATTTCCTATCCGGAAATCGACAATACCTAGTCGGAATAGCAGCCAACTCAGTGCATGGATACAATAAATTACTTTTGGGATGTTCTTTTTCTCATAAAGATCGATGAGCTCGAACCGGAAGAGGTCGGGGAGCTCTACTTCATCTAGGTATCGGAAGAAAATCGCAATGTTGTCGGAGTGTCGGTACTGAAGGCGCGGATGATGGAATATCCTGAAATGTTTATTGGGGTTGAGGGCTTCAACCACCTGTGCGAGGGTGACGCCGTCTCGCAGAGCCTCCTCGAGTTCAACGATAGGCGGGAGCGTCTTGTGTGTGACGTCCTCGATCCATTCTTTGGCCTCACCGATATGGCAAAGGTATTCGTAGGCTTGAAGGAACTGACGTTGCTTGTCTATCCACTTGCTGCTTTCCCAGCCATAATTGCCTTGCTTTGGGCCACGGGCACCATTAGATTTGTCTGACCGCTGCAAACGTCGTCGGCCGCGGAGACCGACGACCTCTTGCGCTGGCGAAGTAACGTTAAAGCCATCAACGGCCTCGGACTCGGTAAGACGGGAGAGTGTCCTCAGTTGGCTAGTCGTTGAACGGCCGAGTTTTTCGAGGTCTGGACGGCCGATATGTGTAGTGCTCGAGCTATGATGGTGGCCCGATGGTGACCCAGCACCGGCCCTTACGCTCATTGTGTCGGAGCGGGATAGCAGCATAGAATTTGGACGTACATTGCCATGTCGAGAGGGCGAATTTGGCGACGAAGGCCCATCACTGTGTGACATGGCCAGCTTGCCAAAATCGACGCTTTTTCCACGATCATGGCGCTGCTGCTTATGCGGTGGCGTGCTCGGGGCAGACGGTATTGATGCTGGAGCCGCCGCGGGCGCTTGGGGCAGGGGACGGAGCGACTGGCGAGCAGAGCTGTATAGATTGGCCGGTTCGGGCTTTTTGGAGTTCATCTCTCCGACTTCGAAGGTGCGGGCGCGTGCGAGCACATCGCTCCGTCCGCGCTTATGACCGTAAGACCCGTACCCGCTGGAGGCTGAAGTATACGAGGTGCTGGCGCTGTTGTCGGATGCGTTGGAGTAACCGGAAGAGGCTGATGAAGTAGTTGAGGACTGGCGGGCGATTGCGCTGTTGGGGTTGTTGAAGGTGACATCAACGGTATGCGAATGACGAAGGTTAGGCCGGAACGACATTTTTGGCTGTCGCTTCTGACCCCTAGACTTGTGATTCGATCTTCACGTTTGTTTCTCCGAATTCTCGTTTCTTTGGGGACCCGTGCGTTCAGTGCATCATTTCAGCCAGTGAAAGGTGCTTGGCAGTGCTGGAATGTCGGCAAGATATGATTAATCGGTTGAAATTGATGGATTGCTAGGGGACCTGGCAGGAGAGTCTAAGACATGTGCTTGGGAGAAGAATCGAAATAACGATGGACCACAAGTTGCAAGTCCAGAGGTGTCAAGTTGGCTTCGCGATACCAGACCGAAGCTCAGACTCGAAGTGCCGGTGTGTAGACAACAAACAAACTCAGGAAGTTGCAGAAAAGGGAGAGCGAGCTGGAAGACCGGGTCTGTTCGCTGCCGCGATACACACCTGATGCCAACCTGAAAAAAGACGAGCGGGGCCCAGCAGCCAGGCAATAGGATGCTGCGGTGAGTGACACATGAAGTAAACAAATCACCCGGGACAACCACATAGCAACCTCCTCCTAGCTCCGCCTCTAATTGGCTGCTCGTGGTCCTCGAAGGCCCACTCCAGCATCGGAAGCCGGGCTACCCAAGCGACTGAGATGAAACATGGCACACCAGTCTTCTTTTCACCTTATCTTATTGAGAATTCACAGGTATAATAACACACTATCATATGACGTTTATTTCATTAGCTTAATGCTGTGTTTATTACGGTGATTTGCTTTTGATACGGTGTCGAATCTCAACGCCGTGGCTTTAGTGTGCCACCTTTACCCGTCACTACCCTAGACTCGAAGGCTGGGTTCTTCCTGAGTTCACTTCTCAATGGATTATCACTGTCATGTTAGGCCTATACACATATGCTTTGTCGAATGTTGTTAAAATATGCTGCGAGATATAGTGATATTTAGGCATCGTAGGAAATGTTCTATCACGGTTTTGAAAATATGCGAGGGGTTGTACGAGCTTCAAAATCATTGCTCTGTTCACGCTTCTAGAAGCACAGAATCAGTCGCATACGATGGATTTCTATTAAACTCGAGAAGTTCTTTGCACTCTAATCGATGGGTCGAGGCCCCTGGACATCTGACTATCCTAATAAGGTTTGCCTAGTTTTTTATGTGCGTTAATAGGTATCGAAAGACTTTTCTTTGTGTGTCAGTTGAGGTCCTCTTTCCTACATTCTACCCAGCCTCACAAGATGGATTTGTATCTGCTCACGGCCTGAAAGCCTAAATGACTATCGGAATTCTAGTCGTCGCAAACACCGATTTAGGTGCTACGCTACCACTTAGCGATGAGCTTTTAATCATTACTACGCTTTATCAATCTCATGAGGCGATAAAGGTAAACAAAAAACGGACTGATTCCCAGTGGATCGAATTTCTGGGCAGTGGGGTCTCGGCGGATGAATGAGGTCATGGAGCTCGCCCGCGTAATTGGTTGCAGTTGGTCCAAGCTCCCGGCCATTCGTCCTCCATCAATCGATCTTGATTATCCCAAGACCATTCACAGTTAATTCGAAAGCAAGCATCAAGTGCGATACCTGCATGCGCGCCCCAGGACCAGCCCCAGATAAATTGCCCCCTCAATTGGAACACAGATTTTTCGAGCGACACTCCCTTGATTGGGCCCTTGGGCTTGATTGCGCCAGAAAGCCATAGACATGTCGTCTTCAAAGCAGCGCCCTTCGGTTCTGGTATGGACGTGGTCATTCAAGACACAGATGCATCCAGGCCAATGCTAACAGGAATTGAAACCAGGTAACCGACGCGAGACAGAGGCAGAACCCACGCAAATCGCTCCAGAGACAGGACACATCATCAGCAGCGCAGGGTCGAAATCCGATGCGGTTCATGACCGTGGACAATGTCCTTCAATTCAACACGCAAATACCTTCAGGCCAGCCCCGTCAGCCCCCGCTGCCGCCTCAAAGGGGCCCAATAGCACCCGGAGGCACCATCCCAGGCCGTCGCATCCCGTCTGGTGGTCTCGCGAGCATTCAAACCAGAACAGGCCAGCCTATGCCCTCTCGTACGACCAAGATTAGCGAGAAGCTTGTACTGCTCCCCGAGACAGACGACAAGGAGGATGCCGACGAAGAGGTTGAGAGCGAAGCAGTCCTGGCACGGAGATTGCAGAGTGAGGAAAACCGCCCACTTAGCAATGAAGAGTTGGATGTTCTGCGACTGAGGGGAGGAGTGCGAGGGAAGAGTTACGCCGAGAGGCTGCCCAAAGTGCAGAGAGCAGAAAAGGTTAGCAGGCTGACTGCATACTGCACTGCGCAAGCCTTCAAGGTGACCTCTACAGCCGAGTTCCTGAGGAAGAAGCACGATGTTAAAACAAAGAGATACGATGATTGTCTCTATGCCATCTACTCCCTACCACTGTTGAATGGCACCGAAGGCTATCGCGTGCGTAGCCGGCCTATTCTCAAGACACCAGGCACTGGAAAAACAGTTTTGGACTTTGAAATCGAGAGGAGCGAGCGGAGGGACCATTACGAGGGTTACTTTGACGAGGATGCCTACACAAACCCTGGAAGTCCCCATCGTCAGACTCACAGCGACTCATCCCACCGGGATGTCCCTGAGGACCCCTTCCACCCTGACGACCACATGTCTCATTTCAATAGACTAGCTCCTGAGACCAAGAACTTCGCGGAGATGTTCATCTTCTCATATGGTGTCGTCGTCTTCTGGAACTTTTCGGAACACCAAGAGAAGGATATTCTCGCTGATCTGACCTTTGCCGATGCTGAAGACGGTATCAGTCTCCTGACACGACCGCTCGAGCAGGACGACTATGAGACGGAGGAGTTTCACTTTGAATACAGCGCAGATGTGAAACGGCCGCGGGTGTTCAACGACATGATCACACTCATGCCACGCTCCGACCATATGATTAAGCTCACCATCAGCCATGCCATCGCCCAGAGCACAAAGCTCTGCTTCTTCGAAGAGCGGATGAGCGAGACAATGTTGGATGCTCAGCATGTGCCCAAAACCCTCGCTCTGACAGGCGAGCTCAACATGACGAGGACGGAAATCGTAAAGATTCTAGGGCGGCTATTTAAGAGTCGGGTAGATATTAATCTTTGTATGTTCTGCATCTCCAACGTATGTCGACACCACGCTAACCACAGTTCCCTCACCCTAGCATCTAACATTCTCGACGTCCCCAATTTCTTCTGGGACTCGGAGCCTACTCTCCACCCACTGTACGCGGCCATCCGTGAGTATCTCGAGATCGACCCCCGGATCAAGGTCCTCAACGAGCGATGCCGCGTCTTCCTCGACCTGGCCGAGATCCTCTCCGACTCCATCAACCACACCAAGATGAGCGTCATCACCTGGATCGTCATCATCCTCATCGTCCTTAGCATCCTCGTGTCCGTCACAGAGGTCGGCCTCCGCTTCGCCCTCCTCCACACCAGCCAGAACAAGAAGAACTCAGCGCTCGCCGCCCACCACCACGGGCGAAGCGCAGACGAGCTGGGCCTCGTGCAACCCCCGCGACTCCTCACAAGCCGAGACCCCGACAGCCCCAGGACCGACAGCACCAGCGACCTCGAGGTGCTCGCCAAGGCGCTGGGCCTCACCCCCAACGCGACCCTGGCCGACATCACCGGGAGCATCAGAGACCTCAAACAGCAGGGTCAGTCATGTGCCACTTCCTCCACGGACTCGTTACGCAGCAGGTGAGATGTTTAGGGGCTGTCTTAACACGAGGTGGGGTGGGGGGGGGGGCACTGTCAGGGTGGTTTTTCTGACCATTATTAATTGCTGAGTGTTGGTATGATCCCTACGACGGGTGGGAGAGACAGAACCGGGCGAGGGAGAGTAGAGCGAGAGTGGTTGAGGGCAACCTCGAGGCGGAGTCTGAACATGTATCGTCCTGCATTTCTCTTCATGTTTTTCTGCATAGCATGGCGTTTTTGATCTTTGTGTGATTGAGGGTAGTAAAAGTCAAAAACATGTAATCTTCGCGGGTTTATCCTGCTTAATTTAAAAAGTCTGCTATTGGCATTTTTCACAGTCAACTTCACCTTTCGGTTTACTTTCGTGTACAAAAAAAAATCTTAGCCATGTGATTAACATATATATCTATTGCTGGCGACTGGGATAGCACAGACCCTGTTGCTATCTACCTGTCAAAAGTATGTAAGAATATCCCGTATGTCCAAAAAAACGCCATAAACCGTGACCATTGCCGCCCTTCTAGGAATGCGAGGTAGCCAATTGGCCGCTTAAACAAACAAAAATTGGGTATTATTTCTAGATCGGCCGTTAAAGGAAAGGTCCACACCTAGTCATAATAGTGATTGACCTTCCATGTGATTTTATCATTGGATTGAAACCGTGGTAGGAGAGAATGAGAGAGAGCGCCATTAGGTGCTCTGGGCAACGGGCTTGTACTGAGCTTGCTGCTTCTTCAACTTGTTGTCCAGCTCCGACTTGCTGTAGATGGCGGCACCAATCATGGTAACGCCCATTCCGAAGCCGTTGAGCCATTCGATGGTGACGTTGAAGAGGAAGATGCCGAGGAGGACCGTGAGACACTGCTTGAGGTTGCCGCAGACCGTCATCGTCAGGGCACCGGCAACCTTGTTGGTGTTGAAGGAGGAAATGTTAAGCAGGAAGGCGAGGAATCCGTTACCAGTGAGAGAAGCGATGGCTGGTGGGAGGCTGACGTCGCCGGACCTGATCAGATCTGAGAAGCCCCTGACCTCACCAGTGGCAGTGGCACAGAAGAGAGCCTGAAGAGCGGCGAGAGGAGACATGCGCATGAGAAACTCGATGGGTGGCAGGGAAAGCGAGCCAGTCATGAATCGGTTGGTTACGACGGTCTAGTTTACGAGTTAGTCCCGACGTCCCCTAAAGTATAGCAAATGCATGTGTACGAACCTTGACAGCGGCGAGAATGACACCGAAGATGGTGAGAAGGAAACCAGCATCAGAGAAGCTCATTTCGCCAATTGTCGTCATGCCAGCACCGATAATGAGAGGAAGGAGAGAGAGGTAGGTCATCTTGCTGTATGTGCG